GTTTCTTTGATTGTTGTTGCCTGTGGCGTGGTTGTTGCCTTCATTGGGGCTTCTGTCGCGCGCCCAGCCGGGAGCATCCCCTCGCGCGCTGATCTTTTCCTCAATTCCGCGGCTCTCTCCTTTGTCCATAGCGCCCGCGGCCCTCTGGCGTTAACACAACGCATCCGCTCCGGATTAGCGAAGTGGCGCCAGGGGGCCCATTCATTAGCTTGCGGTTTCGCATTTCCTCTTTCTGCGCTAGCGCTCGAGCGGTGAAATTGACTAAAGCGCGGCTGGGCAAGTTCCTAGGCGTGCAGTGCCAGCTGAACCTGACATAGCATACCTCTTCTGCAGGACCAGACAGAACGGGCAGACGTAATCAAGGAAGAGGCAGTCCCTTAAATGCCCAGCTCCATGAAGGGCTTTAAAGATCAAATCCAGCACCTTGAATTGGCCCCAGAAGCAAACTGGCAATCAATGCAGCTCACGGAGCTGCAAAGAAGTAATGTGTGGTGTTCTAGGAGCATTTTGCACTAACTGAAGCTTCTGAATACTCTTCAAGGGCAGCCCCATGAAGAGCACATTACAGTAATCCATCCAGAAAGTGACCAGAGCATGAGTGACTGTGAGTACAGCCTCCCGATACAGGAACAGGTGCAATTGACACACAGCACGTAGTTGTGCAAAGGCCCTTCTAGCCACGACTGCCACTTGCTCCTCAAGCAGGAGTCGTAAGTCCAGAAGGAACACCAAATTATGCACCGGGTCTGTTTGGGGCATGCAACCCCATCCAGTACCAAAGTCCCAGAACCAGAAGGGCCCAAGACCCAAAGCCACTCACTCCTGTCAGGGTTCAGCCAAAGCCTATTGTTCCCCATTCAGGCCCCCACAGACCCCAACGTATTATCCCAAGCTACTGCTGGCATGAGGTAAAAAGAGAGACAGAACTTCCCATTTAGTGAGAAGCCACATGTAGTCTAAACCTGGGGGAAGTCTAAGAGCTCTGGCTCCTGAAGTTTGGAGGAGGTAGAAAAGGTTGAATATATATCCCTGTCCTATCCCAATGAATCCTAAAGCTGCTTATTCTGTTTCAAGGGAAGCCTCAAAGATGTCAGCTGGATCTTCAACATATAAGCTAGTTCAGAGGAAATTGTTTTAGGGCAGTGGTACCTTAAGAAAGAGTAATGGTTCTCCCCTCTGCCTTTGTGTTACAGGAATTCTCAGAATTCCCTGAAGGAAATATTTACATAAGAAATAATATGAAGATTCCATGCTCTTCTCTCAAAGTCAGATCTAGTTTGCCCTGAGGAAGTCACATTCTAAAGTGACCACCTCCTCCTCCTTCCTTCTGTCTCATGTGCTTTGAAAAACAGTTGATATCTAGGAATTGGAGGCAGAGGGACAGCAAGGAGAATTCACCTTTATGCTATAGACTTGTGATACACAACCAGAGATCTTGAGAACATGGGGGCCACAACAACCATGGCAGCAATCTCAACAGCCTTTCAAAAGTTGCCACTAAATTGTAATTTTTAATGAGACAGAAAGGAGAGATTATTAAATGTCAGTACACCTATTTCATGGAATGTGAGCATGCCACCCAGGAGACATGTGTAGTCCTTTATCCCCCAAATGTGGACAGCACTGGTATAGCAAGAACCCTAAGGAATCAGAACAGAATATTTTCCCCTTCAGTTTAAGAAACTGCACATACTTAAATCACTTGGAGCTTCAGATGTCTTGCCCATATGTAAACATTTTACTATTTGAAAAACAACAGAAATGTGGAAAAGAAATTGAATTCAGGAAGTCACACATACCATCTGGATGCAAACCGTGAACATTATGGTAGATATTGAAAAATGTTAATCTCATTGTAAATTTATTTAATTTTATTGGCTGCCCAACTCCAGTGGACTCTATGATTCATTGTCCCAATAAACTAGAGTTTCAGTCTATTTTCAATTCATCAACATAGCATAATAGCAAAGAAGTATTGTCCTAGCATAAGGTTTCTGGTACTCTGGTGCCTTTGTCTTACCATCCACAACTTCTTTCACCTAGGGAATTTCTAGATAAGGCTATCATTATTCAGTCATCCTGCTTTATTTACTAACTATTACAGAAGTAACCTTCTGCTTACAATCCTCCCATGAAATAAATATCCTTATTGTTTTCCTTGTACAGATAATTGTAAGAAGAAAGAGATGCAATAACTTCACAAGAATATCTTGGACTGCTAGCACTTCCAGAAGTTGCCCTTAAATAAGAAATATCTTCACATTTCTTGTTATTAATAGAACTCAGTAGTATGATTCTTCCTATAGTACAGAATCTTACAAGAATAGAAGGAGAAGACTAAGCATTCTACTCAGAAAGGTGGTCTGAACATTGTATACTCCATAATTCTTAGGGTGGATTTGCTCACTGTGTGGGTTATACAGGGAGCAAGGCAGGTGAGAAAACTTATGTTTGGTTTTGTGTTTTTCCCAGCCACTCATTATTTAATAAGGAACAAGACATGCGTACCAAAATCTTTTCATGATAGTTCTTGCAGAACTTCTAGTGAATGCACTATGTGTGACTAACTAGTAATGGGTTGATTTTTTTTTTTTTACAATGCCTTCTTTTCTATGAGTCATAAAAAGTAGGAAAAATGTTAACAAGCTTTATTGATATAAATGAACTTTTACTTCCATAGCAATATTTGTTTAGGTATTCTGCAATGGGTCTGTTATGGACAATCAGTAATCAGTATATCAGTATAGAAACAATCTGAAAAAATATTATACTTCCTAAGCTTATATTAGCAAACCTTTTTGAAAAATTAATTTACAGAGAATTCAGTTCTGTTTTCTGAAGCTGAATCACATTTGTCCATGCCAATCAAAATCCTATCATGTGTTTAATACTTCCCAGCTACTTCTTTAGTTTGTGCTCACTTAACGTGTTACTTAACACAGGTGGTCAGGAACTGGGAAGATAATCAACAGTCTAATTTTTCAGCAGTATCTAATTTTTTAACAAATCCAAACTGCTTTTAATTTAAATCTCATATTTCATTCTGTACTTCAAGTGGCAAGTACTTAATTAATGAATTTGATGGGAAACCAAGGTTCATATCATAAAAAGCCTGATTTAGAAGCTCTGATCATGCATAGATTCTATTGCATGCAAGACCTTTTCCAATCACTTCAATGGAGATGATAATAAAGATTATCATTCTCTGCATCCGTGCAACTCCATTGCCTGCAGGGCCATATCCCTTCACTTTAGTGATGTAGTAAAATTCATTTTTTCTCTGAAAGGCTCATCTGAACTTAATATTGTATGTACGTTGTGACACATGAAACTTTTTGAATTATAGCCAAATATTGAAGTAATGTAAAAAAAACCTACTAAATACTTTTCAGCCAGTCATTTTTACAAATGTGTGGTGTGACATTGCAATGAACCTTGAACACCCCAAAGGACTACATTAATCTTGATAATATAACCCTATTTTATAATTAGTTGCACTCACTGGGTTTAGAGTTGTGGGGTACAATAAAATTAATAAGGCTGAAAAATGTTTACATATCTCACATATTTTTCCTCCTAAAATACAAATACCCATGTGGAAGCCATCAAACAGAAATCATCAAAAGCTATAACTAAAGTTAGATTAACAAAAAGCACGTTGACCTAAATATGGATGGCCATATGTGAAACACATGAAAAATGTTAGAAGACACATGGCTGCTGAAACATTTTAATCCAGTGTTGCCTGGTCTTAGATATCCATAGAACTGCTCAATTCATGAAATCCAGATTAGTTGACTGGGAATCTCTGACAGTGACAGATGATTTGAATAATGGAGATCAATAAGTAAGAAGCGCATAATTCAGTTCAGATACAAACAAGTGAAAATCAGCCTAGAAAATGGAGGCAGGATATCTGTAAATCTGTAATGCACAGCCTATTTATAAGACTTAGGATGACAAGTGTATTGTGATTCTTCCACTACCAATTGTGCCTGTTCCTCTTTGGTAATTCATCTGGGTTTGCTGTATTTTGATAGATATCACATGAAAATGCTTTTATCCCTGAACCATAACTTGCAAAACAAGTGCTAATTAAAATGTTGATGAAGCAAACCTTTCTTGTTTTGGAAAAAAAAATCTTAAAGTGATTGAAACTATTTCATTGTTCATGGCATTTATTATTTCTGCTTTACAGCCAATTCTATGTGGCTTCCAGCTTCAGTTTAGAAAGATTTTTCAGCTACCATAGTTACTGCTGTATCAGTTTTCAAATACACACAAGTGTGCCTTCAAAGTGCTGGGAAAAGCATAAATTGGTCCTTGCTAGGAATGGCCACTGAAAGGATTAAAAGTAAAGCTTTCTGATTTTTTTTCCCCAGAATTCAATATGGTGTCACTGAATAAATTCAAATCCTATTTAGAGTAAGAACATTGTTTCCTGTATTGGTCATGTGGATGAAAATAGCCAATAGAAGATTGTAAACTGAATATAATGACCTGAAAAAAAGGCAGCACCTATTCAAGTTAATGTTCTCTGAATAAAAGAGTGTTGGTGAAAAGGAAATTACACACACTTCTGCCTTCGTCCTGTTTCATCCTTCTAGCATACTGCAATTCTGAACAAGTAAAGTTGAACCTATCTTGAAAGCTCTATTTTATTTGAAGCAATTTTTTTAAAAGGATGTCATTGGAAAACATTCCATCTACAGTTTGCTCAAACCTGCTTTTTTATAGGAGAAAAGTTTCATGTATGATGCAGGAACCACACGTTTCCAGTAGTTTTCTTAGAATAGTTGCTCTGGAACATTTCCTTAATTGAGAGGATAGTCCTGCCTTAGAGTAAACACTTGATGTTTTTCAAAACCATGTTCTTTAAACAAATAAATGATTCTTTGTCCCAATAATTCTTGCTTTCATATCTCTTTGTTTATCCAGGGACGACGAGGCAAACCAGGACTCCCTGGAAAAGCAGGACCACCAGGGCCACCTGTGAGTACACACAAGGATAGCATTAAATTTAGTTTAGTCCACAACCTGTAGCAGATACCAAAGAGAACTTGTGTGAGAAATTCTTTTGTTTTCTCTGCAGAGAAACAAAGACAAGAAAAATGGTTCAGGCCTATAGAGAGGTGTGGGATATGGGTCTGATAGAAAATATAGGATAATAATTTCTGAAACTGGTGGAAATGGAAGAAAATGGTGAGCATTTCAGACTATGTACATTGTCTGAGAAATTTAACTATTTTACTTTACCCAAACCAATGATGCTATGTGTTTAAAATGGGATAATTTTTGACTTAGAAGGGCAGTTTCAAAGATGCTGATTGCTTGAATGGCAGAAAGGATTATACCCAATACTGGAAAGAGTATTGGGCTGCAGATTAAATGAGTTTGCTAAAGAATTAAAAAAAGATTAAGAGATACATAAACTGTATGAAAGGAATTATACTGTGTTTTAATTCTGATAACAAGTATGTTGGGGGGTTTTTGGTGGATGCCTATGGACTGGAATCTGTGCTTGGTCATACAGCTGAATCTTAAGAAGATTCTTCAAATCATGGCATTAAAGCTACCTCTATTTTTCTTGGTGTGCTACCTACTTGATTCTTCTGTAATCATTGAAAGTTCACAAACATATTCTATACAGGGGTAATTTTAGATATTAATTGCACCCCAAATTTCTAAAATGGTCATTCCAAATGGTACTTCTGGCAGAAAAAAATACTTATCCAGTTATAGAAAAAGAAAAAAAAGACTTCTTCAGAGCATTGTATAATTGACAGAACCGACATCATTCCAATCTCGTAGTATTAATTATTTCTGCTGTCCTCCTGTTGGTATATAATTCAAAACAGAAGGATCTACAAAAAATAATGAGTCTTCTGGAACAAAATTAATACATAAAATAATTTCTGTCCAAAATAGATTTATTACAGCACATGAACTCATCATATGAATCAATGCTGTGTCATTAGTGCCACATGTCCAGCAAATTAACTGAACCTTCTCATTTCTTCCGAAAAGGACACAGAAGTGTCCAGTAGACTCCAACATATTTTTGTTGAATTAATGGTAATTTTAAATCTATAGAAATTTGTGATATAAATACCAAAATGGTCCCCCACTCAGGTTCCTTATACAAGATATTCCTGTTACAATATCTGGAGTGTTTTGAACTTGAGCCAACATTGTCTTAAGCAGTCAAGCTTATTGTACTGTAATTTTTACAACTGTAATACTGTATATGAAGTAACCAGACTTCTTGGTGTGTTAAGAATGCTGTAAATATGGCACTTGTTCTTAGCATTAAATGGGTTCTAGGCTGACATTGAGGTGGCTTTAAATCTTGGAATAACAGAGTCATGAATAGACTCTACAGAGCTAAATACCAAACCATAGTAGGGATGCTGCCTTTGTCTTCTGATTCCTTTTTTTTTTTTTTTCAAAAATTGGATAGCTAATATAGTAGCACTTTATGTTAGATCAGAAAAATAATTGGAGACCGTGAGCTCGGCCCAAGAGTAGCACTACCCCACCCTGGTGGTTAGGATGTCAGGGAAGCAGGAAAAGAAGATCCTGATAAGCTCATTGTTTACACTGTTGTGTCTCCTGGCCCAGTGGGCTTCATTTAGTGGTCATTTATATCATGGCAATAAAGCATTCCACAGGCAGGATGGAACAATATAGAATAAGAGTTGGTAGCATCTAGTCCATTTGAGCTGATTTTGAAAAAGCTGAGTACCATCGATCCTGTTAATAATTCGATGGAAGACCATCAGGAAACACCCCCCCCCCCACCCCTGCCCTAGACTGGACAGTTGAAAAACCTCCCAGAAAGTAGCACTTGATAATTTTGTTGCCCAAAACAAAACCCAACATCATAGTCCTGTCCATGAAGTCATCAAGAGTCAAGTTCAACTCAAGGAAGATGTTACTTTAATGTTTAAATGAAATTAATTATGCATGAATGCATGTGATAAATATGTTCACAATTGTGACTGTTAAATATAAGACATACTGTGGTGGGTATAACTTTAAGCAAGATGAACAAATGCATCTCAGATAAGGTTTCTCTGCCCCAGCTACTATTATTGCTTATCTCCCACTTCAAAAACAGACTTTTCTGTGTCCTGACAGAGTGAGAAGTCACAGGTTTCACCAAATACTGTAGGTCTGTTGGGGTTGGGTAGTAAGCTGTTACAAGGAAGGTAAAAAATACATTTTAATGGGATCAATACAGGTTTGTGTGCCTAGGGCTATGGGAGTAATTATCATTCCTCATAACTGATCCAACTAGGATGGGAAATTTTCATCAAGCACTAAATAAAATCATGGTTTAAAAAGTGACTATGTAGAGCAATATATAGCAGAACAAGCATGAATTTCACAGAATCAGAAAGCTACCTGATGTTTGAAGTTTGTCTGATATGTTTTATAGTAAACCCAGAATATCTTTTACTCTTACTCTATTCCTGTTGACACTATGAGCCTACAGCTTTGGCTCTGACAAATGTTGAATGATTTTAGAACCATTTCATTGTTTGGCAAAGAGTAAATAGTTTCCAGCACTCTTAACTAGCTGAAAGCATATTGATAATTCAGTAAACAGACTTGGTGACTTTGGTTAACACACTGTTCTGTAAGAGTTCTCTAATTCTTGTTGGTCCAAGTTCAGATTCCACAGAAGGAATAAATAATATCAATTGCTTCTGTTCAAAACCACGGTACTTCTCTGAGTTTATTTTTATGTTTCTCTTTAAATGCCTTTAAGAATCAGTAATTATGAACATGAATTGTGATTTTCTTTCTAGTACAACATTTCTGGATTCTATTTTGTTGTCACTTATTTTGTTTTAGAGACATTTTCATTATATTGCTGTGAATCTATTCTGTTCAATGTGTGGGTCATTCAAGCTGAAAAAGTATTCAAGCTCATTTTTAATGGAACAGCAGCTCCCTCTAGTGATTTTTTTCCTTCACACTCTTATGTAGTGCTGGAAAATCTTCATTAAACAGACCATCAAACTATTTTAGAGCTTCATCGGTCATCTCACAAAATAAAAAATAACAAATGTTATTATAGTAATTAATTATTTTAACAAATTCACCAAGTTTTTATTGTGGGGAATTTTTTTTTCACTGTATATGCATTCTCAGCAAGAGATTTGATATCTCTTTTTAAAGCAAAGGATTATCAAGCAAAATATTTCTCAGATTTAGAGATTTGAAAAGTATTTCATAATGTAACTAAGATTTTCTATTTGTTGATACAATAAGCCAGTACATGGCTGCAATGCTAAACAAGGAGCAGAGAGATTGGGGTTCAAAACTATATTCAAGGTGTTTCAATACCATCAATATTTTTTTATTTATTTTTTTATTTATTTTTTTATTTTTTTATTTATTATGAAATTTGTATGCCGCCCATCTCCCCCAGCATATTCCATGTCTGAAGCCTCTGCAGTACATATTAAACCAAATTTTGTTTCATTCAAGCTTTTTTTTTCCAATATTTCAATATTTCAGTATTCAAATACTATAACAATTAACATGACTATACTTTGGGGTCTAGGTTTTGTAGCAAAGAATATCACAATAACATTGCCTCTGATTACCTAACTGACCAAAAGCTTAACGTCCCACCTCTGGTTTTTAACTAATTTTGAATTAACAATTCTTTCATCCCCAGTCCATAAAAAGGAAAGAAAATAACATGCCGGTGTTCACATAATCACACACTTGAACACAATCTATGCATTTGGATATATTTATTGGAAAAGCTGCTATGAAGAATAGCAGTAAGAGAATATTAATTGAGTTATGTAAACATCTCTGCGAATACCATGCTGCCATGCCTATAGCTCAAAAAGTTCTTCAGCCCAGAAGTTCTGCAGTTAGTGTAGCAGTAGAGATCCATTAAACTGCCTGTGAGCATGAGGGTATATTATGATATTAGAGGAAGTAAAGGAAGATCAGTTCCAAACAATGCATATAAAAAGCCCAGACACTGGAAGGTAAATGAATAAGATGTTAACCCTCTGGAAGAAAGGAAAGAAACTTGATTGTAGCTGCTGTGCAATGGCTAACTGAATACAGGAGGTGAACAGTGGGGGAGCTGCTGCCTGCATTTATTTCAGAGGGAAAACAGATTGCCCCCAGGAGCTGCAGAATCATAGCTGAGGTTCCTGATATACCAGAAATAAGATGTAGAGGAAAAGTAATCCTTTAGAAAAAGGGATGAGTTGAACGGGATGAGTACAATGCCATTTGAACAGCCAGATGAAATGTTTTGTGGGCAAATTAAAATAGACACCTGGAAGTGCCTTCAGTGATGAAACTCGCTGAGTAAACATAGACCAATCACTAACCTATTGTACAGGTTTTTTGTGGGGGGAAAATAAAAGCAGAAGAGAATGGAAGGAAACGAAAGGGAGAGAATGTAATGAGGAAATAACACAATATTGCTTTTGGTTGTGCTTTGATTATCTTAATTATGTTATCTCAATATTATACTGAGCTGGATTGAACCATAGTAAGGTGTACTATATGTGGTTTCTAAAGAAATCAACAGCACAAGTCATATTTAACTTAAAATTGTAAAATCATGAAGTTGGAAAGGACCATTTAGGGCCAAACTCCCACATAGTATAGGAATCCATCCTCAGTAGATGACTTTCTAGTCTTTGCTTGAACATACCCAATGAAGAAGAGTCAAACACCTGTCTGGGTATTTGGTTCCACTGTCAGACTGCTCCTACTGTGAAGAACTGTTTTTCTATAAGTCAAACAATCTTATTATTATGCCAGACTCTGTCATCTGGGATGTTCTTTGGCACTCTTCTATATGACATCCCTTCATGTACTTGAAAAGTGTTCTCCTCAGTCTTGTCTTCTTAGGGCAATAGCCATCTCTTTCAGCTCTCTTTATAGGACTTAATTTCTAGATTCAGAATCATTCTTATATGAATCCATTCCGGTTCTCTGAATCC